CCCGCCCCGCCGCGCCCCGCCGCGCCGCGCCCCGCCACGCCTCGCATCGCCACACACGTGGTCCCGCAGAGGTCCCGCTGACCGTGCTGCCCCGATTCCTTCTCCCCTTTGGCGCGGTCGGTCGCTGCCCGTTGTCTGTATCGGAATCCATTCCACGACCTGCCCTCCTCCCCACGGCCCGCCGGCCCGCCCGGCCGCGCCGCGCCGCCCGGCAATAGCCGTCGCACGAGTCGCTCGCGCGGCCCGTTCTGTTTTTCTTTACCTTTTCCCCGCACCGCGCTGCCGGGTACTTAACGCGCAGGGTACTAGGTAGGTACCCGAGGTACCCGGAGCCAGCCCAGCCTCCTCGTTAAGTTTGCGATCGGCAATCTCGTGCGCCTCGCGGCCGCAACCGCACGGCCGCGCCGGGCCGGCAGGCAAACCCGATCGCTTGGCCGGGCTGTTTAATACTCCCACTCCCCCCCCCCCCCAGCAGGGGCGCCGCTGCGCCGCGGCGGTAGAGGCGGCCGCCGCGCCCCCCCGGCCCGGCTCTCTGGGCCCGCTTGCCTGCCTGCGGTTTCCATGAACGGCGAAATGCCGATGCAACAAGACGGAATGTGCGCCGACATGACTTTGGCGTGGCAAAGGCGGCTCGACGACCCTCACGACACGGTAAGCCAAGCCTCCCGTTCCGTGAGTGGCGAAAAGGGATTGCGGGGATGGAGGGAGGGAGATCAGCCTCCGTGCCAATCCGTTCGAGAGGCCTCCACCTCCGCTGCGGTCTCGGCCACGGGACTCGCCGAAAGGGCGACCACCGTCTTCGACCGCACCGCACCGCCCAGCAGCACCCCGACCCAAGTCAAGTTTGCGACCAACGACGTCCACCGGTGGACGTGCGGCAAGCCCCGAGTCCCTGAGTGCACGGCCGCGGGGCGCTCGGAACTCCTCATCGGCAGCCTCCTCCGCCCCGCTGACCTGCCCCTGATTCGCGACCGCGACGCGCCACGCCGCGCCGCAGAGCATGCGGGATGATCCTCGCGTCCTCTAATGACCACCTGCAGGCCCTCACTCGCGGCGCCAGTTTGTCGACGCAGACGTGCACTTCTTTTTCCCGTCTCTGTGTTTCCGCCGGCCGTCGCCGGCAAGCGCGCGGTCACGCCTCGGCCTGAACCGCTACGGCGACGTGCAGATCCGAACACGGAGATAGCTAAGCGCCCAGCGCCACTGTCGGGTGCTGCGGTGCGCCATGCCCTACACCCGCCCCACCCCGCCCCGCCACACCCTCGGCCCCACCACCTCCACCCGCACCGCAACGCGCATTGCCGCTGCTGGAATAATTTCCGAAACGATTTGAATGTTGGCACGACTGCAGGCAGCAGCAGCGGCGGCGGCGGCGGCGGCGTCAGCAGTTGGCAGACCGGAAAGAGACGGGCTCGGCGGCAGCGCGCTCTGCTGTATCCGGCCGTGCTGTCCGGTGCGCCGGGCACACTGTGCCCCCGGGCGCGGCCGGCGGCCCCCAGGCTCCAGCAGGCTCCGCGGCCCCCGCCTGGAACCTCGCGCCCGCCGCGCCTTGCCCGCCGCGCCGCGCTAGAGCTTGGACAACGTGTTATTACCGCGCCCGGGAGGCGGGAGCGCCGAGCTGTTGGCTGGCAGAAAAGAAAACAAATAAAGAACACTTGCCCCGCAGAGATGAGATGATTCTATTATTACAATAACGCCTGCAGGATTGGGACTCCCGCTCGGCCCCCGCCCGTTGGGACAGTAGTATACTTGAAAGGAGCCGCGCTCTCTGGGCTTACATGAAGATGCGTGAAAAATGAAGCGATTGCATAATCACAATCTCGAACAGACGACAATAGTGCGCAAAACAATCTCCTAGTTCCGGATCCGTTTCCTCGCTTTTTCGCATCTCCTGCTCCCTCGTCCAATAGAATACTTGTGTACCCACGTGGGCGGTGGGCGCAGTGCCGCGAATGTCCATACAAGGCCATGGCTGTATGTTGTGACAAGCGAGTCATCACCAGGGCCCAGCCCGTCGCACGTCAGGTGTGCTTATCTTTGCAACCTCGCATCTGGCCGTCAGAAAGAGGGGGGAGTGCGCTTAGGCGCCCCTAAAAGGGCATGAACAAGCTCTTGACCACAGTTCGACGGTAAGTCATTTATTTTGAGAACCGATATGTCTTTTACCCACAATACTGGAAGAGGGCGTTATTATCATAGAGTATACTCTAGCAAAATGATGCCACCTCTTTAGAGCATATTTTGCTCATTTCTGGCGGGCATGTAATATCACGTGGTATTTGGATCGGGTGTAGATCCAGCAAATTTAACTGAGGATGGGCGGCAAACCTCCGCCGTAACTGCCGTATCGAGTATTTTCGTTATCTGCGCTGCCCCCACTCCCGCCCCTCTCTGATGGTCGGTCCAACACTACTTAACTGGCGGGGGCGCGGGACGCACAAGGCCGCCGGCGAGCAAAGCGCCAGTCTCTCTGTTGTCCCGCGACCGGAACGACGGACCAGTCCACAAGTCATGGCTGCTGCGGACGGGAGCATGGTGGACGTGCCCGACGTCGTGGACAACGCCCTCCGCCACATCGCCTCGAAGCAGGGCTTCAAGAAGCCACAGTGAGTCCATCTAGAAAACTGAGTCTTTCGACGAATCTGTTAAGGAAATTTCACCTTTCAGGACACAGTTGAAAACAGAAAAAGAACATCAAACGTTTAAAAGGCACTAAAGCTCCAAATACATTGTAGTTTGTGAGTTTACGAAATATTTTCAGACTGTTGAATAACTGAATTCTAAGGCTTATTTTCATAATGGCAAAATTCCGCATCAAATAAGCCGACATGTGATAAGAGCTTGGATGCATTTTTTGGGGCTTTTTCAATTTTTGCTTTTGAGCCCCGAAAACGTATAGGATATTGCAGATTTTTTTCAGTGAAAATGAAATACCCAAGGAAAATAACTTTCCTGTTTAGGTCATTTTATTGGTAGAAAAAGATTATTATTTTATGGGAGTGAGTGAGGATGTGGCCGGGAGTGGCAGTGGCAAGTGCTAGCCGTCTCATGGCCAGTAATTAATTATCTATTTACTTCAGGTTCAACGTGACGTCTGGGTCCAGAAATCGTGATGGCTTCATGAGCACACTGTACCGCTGCGTCATACGGGATGAGGTAGGGGGTGGCTCTAGCGTGGAGTAGTACAAAATGCAATAGCGCGGGAGATAAACGTGTTTTGTTAATTTCTCAAGGACTCGGCGCGACCCGCGGAGCTGAAAATCATGGTGAAGATCTCCAGGGAGGGCATGGAGACCATGATGTCGAATCTTTTCGGCGTGGAGGGCCTGGTGTACGAGACTCTGATACCCGCCCAGGAGAAGCTGGCGGGTCTGCGCGAGCCGCTGCCCTGGCCCAAGTGCTACTTTTCGGCCGTGAAGGGCTCACACCCTTACTGCCTTGCACTCGAGGACTTCGGCCCCGAGGGCTTCGTAAACGCTGACAGGAGCAAAGGCCTGGACGCAGCCCACATGCGGCTTGCACTCGAACAGCTCGGCAAGTTCCATGGCGCGTCCATGGCCCTGGTGCGGTTGCGCCCCGAACTGTTCAAGACCATCGAAGACCAGGTGCCAAACCTC